CTCCGACCATGAAAGGCCTTTGTGGAAGTGCCGGCCTTTCATTCCCGGCACATCTGAGGTGACCGCGGCCTCTCTGCTGAACCTCGGAACAGCGGCGGCTTGATTCCGCCACGTCTCTTCTTTGTGGCAGATCAGAGGTGAGGGGGAGGGGTGGTGGGGGCAGCCCGCCCCGCTCATCTTAAAGGATTCCACGCCGTCCGGAGACCGAACGCCTCCGCGCCGTCACTGCGGACGCAGATCATTAAAGTGACCTCCTTGTCCTCGGGATTCTGTCTATAAACGTTTCTCACGCAAAAAGGAAGACGCCGCGTGGTCGCCGCGGCCTTTAAGATCGTATCACGGGGCCACGCTTTATCACATGACCGGCGAGGATTAGAGAGGACGTGGCGGTGATGGCGTCGGGATGAAAGGGACAATACAAGGGTTGGAATGTTGAGCGTTCCCGGGGAAAATGCTGCACTGGGAACCCCGTCAGTGCTGCTCGTATAGCCCGACCAGGGGGAGGGGCACTCCAGCTGTGGTGGAACTACAAGTCCCTGACAGCCACGGGCATGACTTCTGGGGGCCAAGGTCTCCTACCCCTGCTCTAGACCAACCTCTCTCAGCCCTTATACCATGTGAGACCCCTGAAATAGTTTTCAGGTCTCGGGGAACCCCCATTAGAATTTACATTGGTGGTCAGTGTAGAGGAGACCCATCACATTGGTGGTCGGTGTAGAAGAGACCCATCACATTGGTGGTCAGTGTAGAAGAGACCCATCACATTGGTGGTCAGTGTAGAAGAGACCCATCACATTGGTGGTCAGTTTAGAAGAGACCCATCACGTTGGTGGTCAGTGTAGAAGTGACCCATCACATTGGTGGTCAGTGTAGAAGAGACCCATCACATTGGTGGTCAGTGTAGAAGAGACCCATCACATTGGTGGTCAGTGTAGAGGAGACCCATCACATTGGTGGTCAGTGTAGAAGAGACCCATCACGTTGGTGGTCAGTGTAGAAGAGACCCATCACGTTGGTGGTCAGTGTAGAAGTGACCCATCACATTGGTGGTCAGTGTAGAGGAGACCCATCACATTGGTGGTCAGTGTAGAGGAGACCCATCACATTGGTGGTCAGGGTAGGAGACCTTGGCCCCCAGAAGTCATGCCCGTGGCTGTCAGGGACTTGTAGTTCCACCACAGCTGGAGTGCCATGGGTCTGACCACCAATGGGATGGGTCTCTTCTACACCGACCACCATTGGTGGTCAGTGTAGAAGAGACCCATCACATTGGTGGTCGGTGTAGAAGGGACCCATCACGTTGGAGGTCGGTGTAGAAGAGATTAATCACATTGGTGGTCAGTGTAGAAGAGACCCATCACATTGGTGGTCAGTGTAGAAGAGATTCATCACATTGGTGGTCGGTGTAGAAGTGACCCATCACATTGGTGGTCGGTGTAGAAGAGACTCATCACATTGGTGGTCTGTGTAGAAGAGACCCATCACATTGGTGGTCGGTGTAGAAGAGACCCATCACATTGGTGGTCGGTGTAGAAGAGACCCATCACATTGGTGGTCGGTGTAGAAGAGACCCATCACATTGGTGGTCGGTGTAGAAGAGACCCATCACATTGGTGGTCGGTGTAGAAGAGACCCATCACATTGGTGGTCTGTGTAGAAGAGACCCATCACATTGGTGGTCTGTGTAGAAGAGACCCATCACATTGGTGGTCTGTGTAGAAGAGACCCATCACATTGGTGGTCGGTGTAGAAGAGACCCATCACATTGGTGGTCGGTGTAGAAGTGACCCATCACATTGGTGGTCGGTGTAGAAGAGACCCATCACATTGGTGGTCAATGTAGAGGAGACCCATCACATTGGTGGTCAATGTAGAGGAGACCCATCACATTGGTGGTCATTGTAGAAGAGACTCGTGACCACGCAGCTCAGTAACAGGTCCTCTTTAAGTGGCTTCACTCGTTCATCTCACGGATCTTGTTCCACAGATGGTGCTGACAGATGGAAAACTCGAAACCACCACGAGCTACCTGCTGATAGTCCCCACGGATCAAGACATCGGGCGGACGTTCACGTGTAGGACATCGAACTACGCCATTCCAACCGGCAAGGAGACCACGGTCAAGCTGGACGTCCACCGTAAGTCGTCTCGTCTGCTTTATTGCCAACCGTACTTCCTGTTTTACTGTCTATTGTGTTTAGAATAACGAACCCAGAAGGCCAGATTTGGTGGAAAGTCCTGTGGGGCCCTAGCATACGTGGCAACCACAGTAATGCATTGTCCATACGAGTCTCTTAATAACCCCCCTCCCCCTTCCATCAGGAGTGTAACATAGGAACTGATATCAAATATGGCATCCTTAGCATCTCTGTTGCAAGGTATTTCTCATTGGTCCTGAAGGCTGCATGTTTGCAATATACACAGCGCCATCTAGTGGTGGGTGGGGGCAAGCACAATACACTCACTTCCCATATACACAGCACCATCTAGTGGTGGAAGGGGGCAACCACAAGCCATACACTTCCTATACACACAGCACCATCTAGTGGTGGAAGGGGGCAACCACAAGCCATACACTTCCCATATACACAGCGCCATCTAGTGGTGGAAGGGGGAAAGCACAATACACTCACTTCCCATATACACAGCACCATCTAGTGGTGGAAGGGGGCAACCACAAGCCATACACTTCCTATATACACAGCACCATCTAGTGGTGGAAGAGGGCAACCACAAGCCATACACTTCCTATACACACAGCACCATCTAGTGGTGGAAGGGGGCAACCACAAGCCATACACTTCCTATATACACAGCGCCATCTAGTGGTGGAAGGGGGAAGCACAAGCCATGCACTTCCCATATACACAGCACCATCTAGTGGTTGGAGGGGGCAATCACAATACATGTGTAGAAGAGACCCATCACATTGGTGGTCGGTGTAGAAGAGACCCATCACATTGGTGGTCTGTGTAGAAGAGACCCATCACATTGGTGGTCTGTGTAGAAGAGACCCATCACATTGGTGGTCTGTGTAGAAGAGACCCATCACATTGGTGGTCTGTGTAGAAGAGACCCATCACATTGGTGGTCGGTGTAGAAGAGACCCATCACATTGGTGGTCGGTGTAGAAGTGACCCATCACATTGGTGGTCGGTGTAGAAGAGACCCATCACATTGGTGGTCAATGTAGAGGAGACCCATCACATTGGTGGTCAATGTAGAGGAGACCCATCACATTGGTGGTCATTGTAGAAGAGACTCGTGACCACGCAGCTCAGTAACAGGTCCTCTTTAAGTGGCTTCACTCGTTCATCTCACGGATCTTGTTCCACAGATGGTGCTGACAGATGGAAAACTCGAAACCACCACGAGCTACCTGCTGATAGTCCCCACGGATCAAGACATCGGGCGGATGTTCACGTGTAGGACATCGAACTACGCCATTCCAACCGGCAAGGAGACCACGGTCAAGCTGGACGTCCACCGTAAGTCGTCTCGTCTGCTTTATTGCCAACCGTACTTCCTGTTTTACTGTCTATTGTGTTTAGAATAACGAACCCAGAAGGCCAGATTTGGTGGAAAGTCCTGTGGGGCCCTAGCATACGTGGCAACCACAGTAATGCATTGTCCATACGAGTCTCTTAATAACCCCCCTCCCCCTTCCATCAGGAGTGTAACATAGGAACTGATATCAAATATGGCATCCTTAGCATCTCTGTTGCAAGGTATTTCTCATTGGTCCTGAAGGCTGCATGTTTGCAATATACACAGCGCCATCTAGTGGTGGGTGGGGGCAAGCACAATACACTCACTTCCCATATACACAGCACCATCTAGTGGTGGAAGGGGGCAACCACAAGCCATACACTTCCTATACACACAGCACCATCTAGTGGTGGAAGGGGGCAACCACAAGCCATACACTTCCCATATACACAGCACCATCTAGTGGTGGAAGGGGGCAAGCACAATACACTCACTTCCCATATACACAGCACCATCTAGTGGTGGAAGGGGGCAACCACAAGCCATACACTTCCTATATACACAGCACCATCTAGTGGTGGAAGAGGGCAACCACAAGCCATACACTTCCTATACACACAGCACCATCTAGTGGTGGAAGGGGGCAACCACAAGCCATACACTTCCTATATACACAGCGCCATCTAGTGGTGGAAGGGGGAAGCACAAGCCATGCACTTCCCATATACACAGCACCATCTAGTGGTTGGAGGGGGCAATCACAATACACTCACTTCCTATATACTCAGCACCATCTAGTGGTGGAAGGGGGCAACCACAAGCCATACAATTCCTATATACACAGCACCATCTAGTGGCACAAGCCATGCACTTCCGATATACACAGCGCCATCTATTGGTGGAAGAGGGCAAGCACAAGCCATACCCTTCCTATATATGCAGCACCATCTAGTGGTGGAAGAGGGAAGCACAATACACTCACTTCCTATATACACAGCACCATCTAGTGGTGGAAGGGGGCAAGCACAATCCATACACTTCCTATATATACACAACACCATCTAGTGGTGGAAGTGGGGAAGCACAAGCCATACACTTCCTATATAAACAGCGCTATCTAGTGGTGGGAGGGGGCAAGCACAATAGACTTAACTTCCTATATACACAGCACCATCTAGTGGTGGAAGGGGGAAGCACAAACCATACACTTCCTATATATACACCACCATCTAGTGGTGGAAGTGGGGAAGCACAAGCCATACACTTCCTATATACACAGCGCCATCTAGTGGTGGGAGGGGGCAAGCACAATAGACTTAACTTCCTATATACACAGCGCCATCTAGTGGTGGAAAGTGGTAAGCACAAGCCATGTACTTGCTATATAGAGGTCCTTATAGAGGTCCTTCTGCAGATGAGGGGGGAGTCATGTGATCTCTGCGCGAGTTAATAAATACCTGGAGGTGTCACAATGACACATCACCCGGCATGAGACAATATATCTGCTCGGTCCACTTTAATTTTCAGACAGATCCGTATCTGGCCGTACGTGGCCGGCTGAACCGCCATCTCCGCCGCCGCGTTATTGCTTTGATAAACACTTTTGAACAATCCTCGTAATGGCTTTCTTTTTTTTCCCCGGTGATGTCATGACATTCGTATTCATCAGATCGTCTTCGGCGTAGGCTCTATTGTAATAATTGAAGGAGATAATGGACGGCTCGGAGGGTTTCCGCCATTAGCATTATAGCAGGAAAGTGCTGAGTGGCTGATAGCGGAGCCAGCAATCATTCTGCTCTGGCCGCTGCCATCTCCATCGATCGGCCCCGGATGGAGGGCGGTTTTTTCAGCGTCTTCGGGCGGCGAGATGTTCAGGGCGACTCACAGCGTCAAGGTGGCTGCATCCCGGGATACATTGCTGGAGTTGTACTCGAACTCCATTGGAGCATGGGCACCCCAAAGTGGGTGGGAACTTTCAGGGTGGGCCAGATCTGGGTGGGGTCTTATTGCTGTAGGGATATATGAAGCCAGCAATATATCCCAACAGGTGCCACCCTACTAGTGGGGGGCTCAGCTCACCAGGTTCCATCCTACTAGTGGGGGGCTCAGCTCACCAGACTCCATTCTACTAGTGGGGGGCTCAGCTCACCAGACTCCATTCTACTAGTGGGGGGCTCATCTCACCAGACTCCATCCTACTAGTGGGGGGCTCATCTCACAAGGTTCCATCCTACTAGTGGGGGGCTCAGCTCACCAGACTCCAGCCTACTAGTGGGGGGCTCAGCTCACCAGACTCCATCCTACTAGTGGGGGGCTCAGCTCACCAGACTCCATCCTACTAGTGGGGGGCTCAGCTCACCAGACTCCATCCTACTAGTGGGGGGCTCAGCTCACCAGACTCCATCCTACTAGTGGGGGGCTCAGCTCACCAGACTCCATCCTACTAGTGGGGGGCTCAGCTCACCAGACTCCATCCTACTAGTGGGGGGCTCAGCTCACCAGGCTCCATCCTACTAGTGGGGGGCTCATCTCACAAGGTTCCATCCTACTAGTGGGGGGCTCAGCTCACGAGGCTCCATCCTACTAGTAGGGGCTCAGCTCACCCGGCTCCATCCTGCTAGTGGGGGGCTCAGCTCACCAGACTCCACCCTACTAGTGGGGGGCTCAGCTCACCAGACTCCATCCTACTAGTGGGGGGCTCATCTCACCAGATTCCACCCTACTAGTGGGGGGCTCATCTCACCAGGCTCCATAAGGAGATGATGACAAGGGGAGGTTTTCTAAAGTCCTAACTCACTTCCTGTCTTAGGGTGACAACGCTGCTCGTCCATAGATACAGTACAGTGAACGTTGTCACCCTAGGACAGGAAGTGGGCTATACTAAATTTTTGGGTTTGAATACACGTTATGATTACATTGGGATCCTCGTGTGACGGTTCTTTCTCTTTCTTTCTCTTTCTCCTGACAGATCCGCCAACCGTCACCCTATCCATCCATCCTCAAACTGTGCTGGAGGGCGAACGGGTCCGCTTCTCGTGTATGGCCACCGCCAATCCAACCATTAAAGGATACAGGTCAGTATGCCACCCAAATGACTCAGTGAACTCTATGGAAGATCAGGTGCTCTCTGTAGGTACTTTCTAGGGTTCCTGTGATCGGAAAAGATCCGGAAGTGGGGAGATCACATGACACAGATTGCTTGGAGGGACATATGCCCCTCCCACTCTCCTAGCAGAGACTTTAGTCATTTATACACAGGCTGCCAAAAAGCATGCTGGCATTAGTGGGCTCGGTTATAGGAGTGTCTTCTATGTACCGTAATAAAGACCGGTCACTGCTGCTCTCTCTCCTTGTACAGGGTGACTGGTCTTGTCTCCGCCCCCTCCTGTAATAAAGACCGCTCACTGCTGCTCTCTCTGCTTGTGCAGGGTGACTGGTCTTGTCTCCGCCCCCTCCTGTAATATAGACCGCTCACTGCTGCTCTCTCTCCTTGTGCAGGGTGACTGGTCTTGTCTCCGCCCCCTCCTGTAATAAAGACCGCTCACTGCTGCTCTCTCTGCTTGTGCAGGGTGACTGGTCTTGTCTCCGCCCCCTCCTGTAATAAAGACCGCT